TTTTTATACCATAAAAAAGGCGGAGAAAGAATGATACAAAATTGAACACCATAAAAAAGGCTACGGACTTGGAACCTCATTGGCATCACAGCTAGACTGTATTGCGTGCTTTTGACTTATAAGTAGTACGATACCTATTTTCGCAGGGAAAAAATTAATTTCACTGGTAATTTTCCAAGATGGACTATTAAAAAAGATGCACAGGACTTTGTGCGAACAATCCGATCCTCTAGCATATCGCATAGCGTGGTAATATAAGAGGCCAAGATTACAAGAATATGACTGCCGCATTTTAATGAGTACGGCTACCGTATTGAGCATACAGGCGCCCGGTTTAGGTTTTTCCTCACATGTTAGTCTTAGACCAAAACCTTGAGATGTAGGGATCACCCTATAGCCTGTGTGTCGGTTCTAACTAGCATTCCTCATCAGTTCTTCTAGCTCTCATTGTTCAGTGTCAAATATTTTTCCATCTCATTTGCATGCCAGCTTCTTCTTTGATTTGTCGGTTGGGATAAAGCATTTCTATTTTTATTAGTTGTCTGCTAAGTAAGTGGAACCTAGACCCCTCTAATTGCCACTGCACTGGATTGGATACTTATTATCAATGATATATTTGGACTATGTCTTCAGAGATTCAAAAAATATATACTCTTAAAAATGTTAGGAGTAGTGGAAGGACTGTTTTTGAAAGTATAAAAAAGCTCCTAGGCACTAACACAAACCGCAGAATCCACGGGCAACTGTGACTTCGAAGTCAACACGCTCATTCAGACTATTTGAGACAGACATTTTCTTTGTTCGAGCTGGAAAATTGGCAGGAGAGAGAATACGAAATTCTGCGAACTGCTTTTTTAGTTGTAAATCAGGCATGCCTTGACATCGATAAAAATCAAAGATATTGGAAAGTTTGGGTCTTTTTTTAATGAAAACTGAAATATTTATCGCTGATCACAACTTAGGCGAAAGATCAAGTCAAAAAAATGCCAGGAAGGTCCGGTTACTTTCTTTAGGAACTGATAACAGAGAAATGCATACCTTGAGTTCATCGCCTTGATTCCAGGTTCCTGAACTGGTGCTGGGACCATCTTGGTTCTCTCGCAGGATCTCCCACACCGACGTTTGCTGTCGTTGTGTTTGCTGCAGAGAAATACCATTACC